ACTTCCTCATTGGAAGTCACGAAAAAGCGGCTCTGAAGAAGGCGATACTGCCGAAACGTCAGCTAGTGTTGTATTGTATTGTGTTTTTATGGAAGTAAATGTATGCTGTTTAAAAACCTCGCGATTGCTGAACAAGAAAACGACACATTCATATTCCAATGCCGAGGTTAAGAGAAAGTCGATCTTGGGAACTATCTGGTATTATTCTTCTACAGTTGTCAAAGGTTAGCGTATCTGGTACAGTTCAGCATGTGTTGTCGATAATATGAGCCATATACGGCTCACGAGGCTTATGTTACTAAGCAACTCAGAATCAGAGAGCAACTGGTCCATAAATTTGTTTCTACTTGTGTCAGGATCCATTTTACTCATACATTTCACAAAATACAATAAGTATACAAAACGAAATCAATTGGTCAAAGGAACTCTGGGCACTAAAAGAGATTTTCTAGTCCAGTTTCTTCCGCTCCATACATAGGCTATGCTATCCAACGATCGATTGCCATTTCAGTAAAGACTAGATAATACAGTATCCAAATACGGTGATAGTAATGGAATACTGGAAGGACAATAGATACCGGCATGGCGATACATAAGCATGTTTCTTCGCCTTGCGCCTAATATGACTGTGTCCATGATGTCTGCTTTTAACTATAATTAACTAAGAGTATGACCACCCAATGGCAATAAGTAACCAACTAAGTAATAAAGTAAGAGATCGTGAGATCCTAAGATTTTCTGAGATCCACTAGAGTGTGTTTTTCAATAACTAGTGGAGAACGGAGGGCGAAAAACGGGAAGAACTATGTCATCGTCAAAATTGCTGATTCCCGGGAGACAATTATAGTAAGGATGTGAAAAGATGCGAAATTACGAATAAACTGACCATCGCCGACCAGATTTCGATCGCAACATGTCCGATTCACCTCTTGTGATGGAAAAACCAGATCGATGTCAACGAAGAAGTCAAATTTGTACTATAACGTCTGGCACCTATGGCTTTTCATCGTGCACAGACAATGTTTTTAAGAGCTCTCGAGATCTTCCTAGAGTTTTTAAGTTCTGCACAACCAGTCCTCGAGTAACGCTTGCATTTTAAATATGCGCACTATTGTTGCATCTACTTCACTATAAAATCATTTTCTGTTATTTCTCACGGTCATATTGAAATCTATCTCCTTCGCTAAAATCGATTCCCTTAAAATAACTGGGCATTTTCGTTTCTTTTGCCAAGATGAACACCTCCAAGTACCGTATTTGTTGATGAAATGGTTATCAGTACTTCTTGCTATTACTATAAAAAGACAAAGCTTTCGGCGTTGATCAATCCCTGAGGGATGTGCCATGCATTCAACTTCATTAAGCATCGTTTGGAGGTGATTGAATGCATATCTCACCCTTACAATGACTCACGGTAGCCTACCGATGTATCGAGCCAGTGCTGCTATCCTTCCAGACAAGTCTGGTACCAATTTACCGATCCCGGAGAGATGAAAGGCTTAGTGGGCCACGGGCGCGGGGTTCGATTCCACGTGTGTGTTGCAGAGCGACTCCGACCACTGCGCTAAACGTGCCCGCCCTTCGCTACTGCATTCCGGTTTATCAGCCCAAGTCCTTGTTGCTACAAGTTTTTACAGTTTCCGTAGTGTTTACTTGTTTTTGCTTTTCCGAATTTCGCACAGAAAGCAAATTTTCATTACACAGATGTCCTTATTCTGATGTTTCCCCGTTTTTGTTTCTATTTCCTGTTTCTACCTCCCTACTCCATGTCCATAGTTCTCAATGAATCGATTTTTTGCAGACTGCTCTTCTTGAAAATCATATAGGTCAGGACCTCGCACATGGGTCATGACATCCACCACTTTAAATGACACTCTTCTTTCTTTTTCTTCTTCAGATGTTCTCACTATTGACGGCATTCTGGCGATTCAGTGGATCTCCGACGGTTGCGCTCTCGTTGTCCATCTCGGCTCTGCTCTGCGCCTCAGCTCTTTGTCCATCGATCATCTTCCACATGATTTATGCTTTATCACAGATTGATGATCAACACTGCCCGGTTTAAGTTTGACTCGTAATGTAAAAACTGTTAAAGGACGACTTAAAAAAGCAATAAAACAGGACAAAAACTTCAAGAAAAAACCGAAAAGATACTAGATTTCTAAATGTTAAAGATAAAATGAAATAAGAAACATATCGCATTTGAAATGCATAATATTTCCTAACTTCCAAGTTAATGAAGGTGATGCTTAAAGGTTAATAGAAAAGAGGCACAGAAACACCACTTTATCAGTCGAGGTTAAACACCGATCGATATCTGCCCTTGGAGCGTTCCCAGACCTATTTGGTCGCTTGTACAATATTTCAAGGGTACATATAGCGCAGTGATCGGAAGTGCCCTGCAATACACATGGGATCGATCTCTCTATCCAAGGCCCACCAAGCCTTCCACCCCGCCAGTTTCGGCAAATTGCTACCAGACTTGTCTGGAGAGGGGATAGCAGCATTGATTCCATTCACCGGTAGGCCACGGTTAAGCATTGCATAGGTCAGATAAGCATACAATCACCTCTAACAATGAAGTCGACTTCATGGCGCATCACTCAGGGATTGATCAACGCCGAGAGCTTTATCCTTTATCCTTTTATGCAATATTTCACACCAATTCTCGTAAAAAGTGGAATTTAAAAAATCCATTTTGCAATTTATTCTAAAGAAATAGAAACATTATTTAGCTATGGCTCTCATGAAAAATGCACGTAACCATGTTTAGTTCCTCATTGGAGAGATGTGGCGAAATCTGGACAACGTAAAGAATGAAATTCACAGCAACATAAGGGAAAAGCGAGACCTAGCATGTAAGCACAGCCTACATAAGTAAAGCTTAAGGATTCGTGTAGTAGTCATTCCCAGAACAAAGCTTACTACTAACTTCTTTGAAGCTCATGGAGGAAATCTATTTTTCCAATTTGGAAACAAAGTGTGAGGTAGCAAACAACTCATAATTCGTCCACTCAGCTTGAAACTTTGTAGCAAACATTTTTTTTTTCCTTGAAAAAGAAAAGAGAAACGCTGGCTTGATATCGAAGGACTCTAGAAGCGAACGAAAAGCCTTCATCTTAGAGAAAACGACTCTAGCATGGAAGTACGATGAACCACATCAAAAAATTCCATCCGTGATTCCCTTCACCTTTTCTCCTGTTGTATTCATCCTTTTTTTACAGTCACGGACACAACCACTCTTAAGCACGAATATTTGTACATCATTATATATTCTTCTTGAAAACTGCATTAATGGAAATGCAAACAAGGCAACATATTTCAGCCTGCTGTATTGGTCCACCGGGTCCGAAAGGATATCCAGGTCAGCCATCCAAAGATGGAGAAGATGGCACCCCAGGTAAGTTTATTCACTATACAATGTTAGAAAGACAGGATGCTTGCCGTTGCTTTTACTAACCAGTATCTTTGTTATTTTTATATGAATATAACAGTATAAATGAATGAACAGTATGAATATAATATAACAGTTTTCTTAACAATCCAAAAAATGGGAAGTACTAACACTCTATACACTACACTAAATACCTGAATAAGGGGTGGATAGCACAGTGGTAGTGATGTCCGTCATCACTAGCATGGTACTAGTTCGATTCCGCTCCGGGTCAACCAAGCCTCTCGTCCCCCTGAGGTCGGAAAATTGGTATCGGACTAGTCTGGTAAAGAAAAAAACCACTCTCCTCATCCAATTGGGAGCTCTCCAGTCTGACTATCTCAGGACTCCAGCGAGAATTGCTCGACCAAGACTTTACGACATTCAAGATGAAGTGAAAATCCTCAAGCGGCAACCGAAGCTACACGTAAAATTGGAAGATTTTCATGGGTAATGGATACGAGGAAACGAATTCATTGTGAGAAGTGCTGAGATCCGCACAGTAGATGTGAAGAAAAGTCATATAAATAAATAGACAAATAATAAATTACCTGAACACTTAAACACTGCGTCTTTGCTAATTACGAAAAATGTTGTGGACCTTAAGACAATTTCCCACTTTTCTGCCAGTGTGTTAGTAGTTCAAGAGTTATTTTGGTGAAACCTCAAAAGATGTACTGGGTTTATCACGTCATCAAAACTTGTCAGTTGGTGACTAGTTTCTTGCCCTGGATTACAGTAACTACCGGCACTGGTTTACTTCCGGAAATGCTTTCGAAACAGCCTCCATTTCAGGACATGATCTTCATAATCTTCCGGGTCTTTCTAGGGCAAACAAGACAGGGTAAATGCTAGCGAGTAGTAGAATTTCTTTTCAACCTCACTAATAATGTAGAAGGAAAACAACCAAAACACCTTCGAATTCTGAATTACCGCAACACTTCCATGCAGTCTACATACAGTGCGCTCAAGAAAATATTTTCCCGTGTTCTGAAGCATCACCTACTCGAGAGTAGGCTCAGCGACTACGAAAGTCTCAAAAAAAGTTCTACTGTTTTTCAAAGTTACAACTACTGCATTTCTGCATCATAGGGATTGGAAGCTTAACTAAAGAATGGCAGGCTATTCTTAACAATGATGATGAATATATCGTTGGCTAATGTTTCGTACGGAATAAATGAAACCAAAACTACTTTAAAGAAGATTTCAGGAAAAAAGTAGTTAGAGGAATAAAGTACTTAATTCTTCCTCGAAAATTATAAGTAAAAATGGGAAAATACTGCTGTGATTGTAACCCTTCTATTTACTGCCTTTTTCTTTTTAATAGCAGGGTATGTTGCGAATATAACTCGTATATAATGCTGAGATAACTCCGGACCGCAGGTGTATGCGGTGGGGAACGAACGCGCGCTATTGTCCTTACCGAGGAGTAGCGCACTTCACCACCACACCATCCGGGTCCTTCGTTTTGCCTGTCTCTCAGCTAGTTCTATTGATCTTTTGCCATCAGCAAAACCTCATCAAATACGAGTTATATTCGCAACATAGCCTGCCATTAAAAAGAAAAAGGCAGTAAATAAAAGGGTTACGATTTTGATTATAACTAAGCTTCAGCTTAAGTGGGTTCAATGCCGATTTGGGCTCCCCAGATCAATCCCGTTGAGGGGTGATTGCTGATGGCAAAAGATCAATAGAACTAGCTGAGAGATAGGCAAAACGAAGGACCCGGATGGCGTGGTGGTGAAGTGCGCTACTCCACGGTAAGGACAATAGCGCGCGTTTGTTCCCCACCGCATACACCTGCGGTCCGGTGTTTTGCAAATATCTCAGCATTATATACGAGCGCTGTGATTTCTCAAAATCTGTTAATAACTTCGAAGCGCCAATACGAAGGAAAATTTATAAAGAATGAGCTTACTTAAAGTCTTTTTATCGAAGCAGATTACTGCTTACGTCACAATAACTGCTACTAATGGCCTAATCCGCACGGGCGGGCGCGTGTGGCGCAGAGGTCGGAAGAGCATTGCGATACACACATGGGATCGATCACCGCGCCCTGGCTCACCAAACCTTCCATCCCTGCAAGGTCGGTAAACTGGTACCAGACTTGTCTAGAAGGATAGCAGCACTGGATCGACACATCGGTAGGCCACCGCGAATCATTGTAAAGGCCAGATATGCATTCAATCATTTCCAACGATGCTTAATGAAGTCGAATGCATGGAGTATTCCTGAGGTATTGATTAACACCGAGAGCTTCGTTTTTTTTTATGCTCTATCCATGAAACTTATACAGTAATTGACTACTATAACCTCCGTTTTTCATCAGGATACAAAATCCTACTGTATTAATTGTTTTATCATTATTGTTTAGGATAGCCTGGAAAGCATGGTCGTCCAGCCAATGAGGATAGACGCGAAATCTGCGAACGGGAATGCCCTGTCGGTAAACCCGGGTTCGTTTTGACAAAAAGTCATTTGCTATTATTATAGGAACAATGAAAGAGAATTTATGTTTATGACATTGATGTGAAGCCAGCAAATATTTCATTCGAATAACTGTCTTGCACCTATGTGTGCACCGAATAACATGTGCATTCATGAAGGTTTTCCACTGCACATGTGGCTTCAGCTGACAACTTCATGTTCCTCACGAATGCTGTTAAATGCTGGTCAAGGCTGTCTTCCTTAGAGTACTGGGATAGATCTGTCGTAAGCACAGGCAATCAGCAGCGTTTGTGGATTGGAGATACATTTTCTTAGAGAGACCTGCCACCAACTCAATAATTGGTTGGGATACGAAGTCTCACTGATTGAAGCTCAATCGAACCAGTGGTCATGTTGGTGTTGTACATCATTCTAAACCGTTTAATTTCCCGTGCCTGCAAAGATTTTTAGCTGCACAAAAGTAGATTTAGTCTATAACACCGCCTTTGATTCGTTCGTTGTTTGCTGACAGCATCGGAAGCCGTTGCCAGTACTGGAATCGTTATAGTACCTGGAAGACGTCGTTGCACTTCTTTTATACGACCAGTTTTTTACACCTACTTTGCGGATCGCTACACTTCTTGCATTCGATTCGTTTCCTCGCATTCATCATCGTCGAAGCTCTTCGAATTTTTTACGTGTGAATTCCACTCCTTCTTGAGGATTTTCCTTTCGTCATGAGTGTCATTGAATGCTAGTCCAGTAAATTCTCCCTGGAACCTTGAGATAGCCGAGCAAGAGCGTTTCGACTTAGATTGCAGAGAGTGAACTCATCCCAATGAAGTCTCGTACTAATCTCGCTACTCCAGAGGAACGAGAGGGCTTGGTGAGAATAGAGTTGGATTGAATCGGCACCATGCTTGTGGTGATCAGAGTCATTACCACTGTACTAAATGTCCCAGGCTGTATTAGATCATTAGAGCATATTAGAGCAAAGATTTAGTAGATTCTCAATTGTTTATGGACAAAGGCACTCACAGCCCTTCTTTCAAGATTCGGAAGAGTAAAAAAGCCACGGTTAACCACCACTCAACACATCAATGGTAGAAGACGGCGGATAATCAGGTCATAGCTGAACCAACAGTAAAGTCGGCCACCTTTGGGATAACGATTGGCAAACCAACGATTCAATGGAAATTCAGGAACCGGACACAGTACTGTGTCGAGAGCTCAAAAAAAAAAGCGTGGCACGCGAACTGTTTGCGGTAAAACAAACGATAGGAAAAATACACCTTGAACGCAACGTACCCCTCTGCTAACCAACGTCCGCATCTATATCAATGCAAAAAGCCACTCAGATGTCAAAATATAGCACCTTGTGCAAAACCTATTCGCATATTTTCGTACTTTTAATGATAACTGGGTCTTCTTCACAATTTATACACACTAACTATTTATTTATTTAATTATATGATACGAAATCTTGTTTAAATTGTTGAACTTAGACGAGGCCGACAAACAGATAAATGTGGACCATGGACGCATATCATTGGCTCTGATGAAGACGAGGACGTCGGAACGTTAGCCGAATAAACCTTGTTACCAACCTCGTGAAAGTTCAACGATTACATGTTGATTAAGCATACCAAAGTTAAAGGAGAATCGGTTTGAAAATTGTTTCGCTATTCGCTTTCTGCTAGCTAACATAACACCGGCCGCCGCAGGGTGGATTATTCGTTGAAAAACAAACTTTTATCAACGGATAATCATATCAACAACAACCGCCCTGTATAAAAGAGCGGTGCAGGCTGAGTATGGCTCATTCGGGCGGTGTTCCACTAAAGAATCGTCTCGCTACGACTACGACTACGAGATCCTCACAAACATCAGACATTAAAAATTCAATATTGTTTTCAAACGACTTATCGACTTGCCAACTGCACACGAGCTTAATGAAAAGCAAGCAGTTTAAAAGAAAGCAGGCCTTCCGAAAAATTATACTAGTTACAGTATCACTTTAAATTCAATATCGAGATTTAGAAAATGTCGCCTCCGTTTTACTTGATAAATCGAAGATAATTCATAGAATAAAGCTATTTCATAGACTATATTTACAGCAACCGCGGACTTCCCGGAAAAAAAGGAGAACGTGGACGACGAGGTCGAAGTGGTGCGCCAGGAAAACCCGCACCTCCTTCTCAGGCTGGCGAGCGAGGACAGGTGGGAGAGAAAGGCTTCAGAGGAGTAACTGGTCCTCCAGGAGATCCCGGAGAACCTGGAAGAGTGTACATTGTAGAGGGTCCACCAGGAAATGAAGGAGAAATAGGACCAATAGGGATTCCAGGTGAAAAAGGACGACGAGGACGAAACGGCGAGAATGGTGAGCGCTGTTTTTGAGAAAAAAATCTTTTGACGTCCCACAAAGCAGTTCGAATTGTTGTAATATGTTAGGGTCTTTCAATTGCTATTTCAAATTGTATTTTCTACAATTTGTGTCTTTTTAAATTAATTTTCGATAGTCCATCTAAGACTACATAATATATCGCAATACTTCTAAGAGAAAAAAAGAAGACAAATCGAGGAAACCATAAAAAAGTGGAAAAACTTCAGACTTCGAAGGAAATCGAGGACAACGTGGTTCTCCAGGATTAAAGGGTGAGAAGGGTCTACGAGGACCTATCGGACTACCGGGACCACCAGGACCTAAAGGAGAAAGATGGCCTTGTCAGAGCTGTTCACCGCCACGTGTCTCACCTGGATACTATATTGCTCCATCTAAATCATAACAATTTAGCAGACAAAAGTGATTTATTCTTTTGCTAATGAACAATAAAGAACAAAAAGCATAATCATACAAAGTCAATCGCTTGAATTTTTCAACCATACAGCATCGCACAGGTCTCTAACAGAACAGCCGAAAAATGTTCGCTAGCCTAGCCGCAAAACAAATTCACATATAAGAAATTCGCATTCAAATTCAAAATGGATAGTTCCCAAGATCGACTTTCTCTTAACCTCGGCATTGGAATATGAATGTGTCGTTTTCTTGTTCAGCAATCGCGAGG